AACACAAGGTTGAGAAATTGGAGGTCTTAAAGAATGTGCGTTGGGAGTAAAGGACTGAGAGAGCTTGAGGGGTAGATGCCTATCATCAGAGAATAGTATAATGAAATTGAAGATTTTTAAAAGGGTAGTGAAAGTAAAGGAGGAACTGAATAGATATGACAGTGTGTTAGCTAATCAGAGAGGCATGAGTGGATGACAATTTCTTCACTGAAATTCTATATCAGCTGGGTTCCAGAATATAAGACCTTAGACAGTAATAAAATAAAAATAAATCCCCATCTTTTTAAATTTCAGAAATGTGTGCTCCTAATTGCAAGTCCTGAAATGACTATATCTTACCCATTTTAATTACTACCCTCTATTATCTAACATAATTCCATGCATGTATTAGATACTCAAATATTTGTAGAGTATTTGAAAAAAAGAACAAAGAAAAACACATCAAATTTTCATTATAAGATAATAGCTTACTAGATATATTTGAGCAGCTAGGTATATGATTGTAATTATATTCTGCAATAAATTCAGTAAAAACTCCTTAAAATTCTGTAGATTTCTTTCTTATTTGATGTTAATGTTTGTTTGGCACTTCTGTTTTCAGAACTAATTTAATTTATATTTATTGTGGTATCTACAGTCAATTTGACATGGCAGGTTTTTTTTAGGATCTTTCTCTTTCAATTCAAATATATAGATTTTTAAAATAAGTTCCTTATATAGAGGAATGTGAGTGGTGTGTTTGGGATAGATAATCGCATTTAAACTTCTTCATAAATGAGCTTCTATTTATGTAAGCATATCTTTAAGATCTTATATTTATGTACTATGTTACCATTTTACTTCATATATAACTGTTAGTAATTATAACAATAATAATAACATTGGGTATTATTTATTATGTGACAGGTGCTGTTCTAAGTAGTTTAGACGATTTACTCATATTTTCCAAAATGTGCTATTATTATTCTTATTTTACAGATGAAGAAACAGGCATAGAGAGGTTAACTAACTTGCCTAAGATCACAAAATTAGTGAGTAGATTCAAACCTAGGAAGTCTAGCACCGGTGCTCAGGATATTAACTACCACTACTAATATAGACATAGATTTAGATACAAATGTAGATGCATTTATCATCTGCTTGCTTAAATGTCTGTTTTCTTTACCTTGAGCTCCCTAAGGTCAAGGACATTGCATGGCACATTGCAGCTTATCAATAAATATTGTAAACTAATGAAAAATCTTCTCACTTTCCAAGATAATTTTGCTGTTTCCTACAGATTTTCCTATTATATTTATAATACTTTTCAACTAACACTCTTGGCTTTTCTTTTCAAGTCTATTCCAGTTATTATTTGGGTGGTTTGTTATGAGACATGTTATGACATTTTAAATCTCTACATCTAAAACTTCATTCTTTTGCTGAGACAAAAATTATCTCTTCCTCTCCTCCTGCCAAATATCACAGCAGATTAAGTATTTACATGAGGGGAGTTTGTAGTCCAGGATTTCTACAGCAGCGGGCTTCAAATATTCTAGTCAAATCCTGCTTTTTTTCTGACTCTTCCTGATGAGTGTTATCGTCAGAGCTTCACTCTGGCATCTATTAGCCACTTAGCGCTTATTTTGGGAATGGTTGCTTTCATCACTACTCCCTTTACATAGGTGCCACCTAGTTACTTTTGTTTTGGCAATTATGGGTTAAATACATTCCAGGGGTTAGTCCTGCTTAAGTTTGCTAGCTCTCTATTTTAAATTAATGCACAGTGGGTCATTTCTTACAAGAGTAAAGCTTTCATTAAACAGGAATCTTTCAAAGCACTCATTTTTATTCTTTTCCATAGATGAGAGTCTTCTTTCACCATTAAGTGATGCTTTTCTCCCTCTGCCCTACAAAGCTACACTACACTGCAGTTAATAATGACTGGTGGTTGAAAAGAATTTATACTTTAATCTTAAAATATTGTTCTCTTTTGAGATACATGTTTGACTGTCCTTCCCCACTGCCTTGTGATCATCTTTTTAAGTATTTACTTCCAGTCCATCGAATTAATATCACCCTAAAAGACCTGTTCCACTAAAGAGTTTTTAAATGATAAATATCACATATAAGGATACTGTTTTTTGCTATGGTTTTTAAGTCTAGTAATTCCCTAACAGAGAACTCTGTAAGGGATTAATAAATTCATTAGCAGTTACTCAATAGGAGAAAACATGTGGAACTCTTTTTAAAAAGCTCCTCATTTTATATATAATTACCCTTCAGTCTCCCTCCTAGCATTCATCAATTTAGAAATAGGCCATAGGGTATTTAAAATGCCTTTCCCAATTGGTAAAGTGGAATAGAAGATGGAATTTTGGATTCATAAGCAGAAACTACCTATTGCAATAACTACATGTTAAGGACTGGTCAGTGTAAGCTGGTCACAGTTAGGAATTCTGTCTCACCCATATTTGAATCACCAGTATCTAGTATAATTGCAGACCTTCTTTTTCTTTCCCATTCTTCTTTTCCCTTTTTCTTCCCTTCCTCCAGTTGAGACATAGGATTTTGGGGTCTAGGAAAGAGGTAGAGCTGGAAATGTGAGTTTGAAAGCAGTCTGAATATAAATGGTATTTAAGACTATAGACAGGAGGGAGTTACCTAGGGTGAATGTTTAGAGAAGTTAGAGAAGGAGACTTAGAGGAATAGTCAGTAGGATAGAAGCAGGATGTGTTCAAAGAAGCCAAAGGAAGTGACTTAAAAATAGGGGAGGTTGTCAGCTCTGACACATGCTTATAAGAGATAGAATAAAATAAGGAATAATGCTGAGTCTAAACTCATACTGTTCACTGTAAAACAGGCCAATAAATCGAGAGATGAGTTGTTGGGGCAAGGAATAGCAACTTTATTCAGAAAGCCAGCGGACCGAGATGGTGGACTAATGTCCCAAAGAACCATGTCACCTGAGTTAGAATTCAGGTTTGTTTTATACTAAAAGGGAAAGGGGTGTGGTAGATTGTTGCAAACTTCTTGGTGCCAGAATCCTTTGTTCTTGCATCTGTCCATGTAAGTCCCATCACAGTGTTCCTATAAACCTCCAACAAGACAAATGTTATACTCAATTCTGCAACTTTATATCTCTAGATGAATGGAAAAGTGTTATACCTTTAAAGGTCAACACCTTGAGAATGGGCTATCCTGTGTATTTCAATATTAGTTTAGTGATTAACTTGCAACAAAAACAGTATAATACAAAGGTTAAAGTAAAAGAAATAGATCCAATATGGAGTCAGATTTGTCTTTCCCTGTTACAATAAGACTTATAAGGAATAAACTTAAGTTTGACAAGGTGATTACAACTGTAATTAGACTGCTTGGGACAAAGGCCTGATGGGAGTGGGATGAAAAAAATTAGAAATGAGGAATAAAGATGATGACTTTAGACACTTCTTTCAAGAGATGTGATTTTATTAAAAAATTTTTTAAAAATATTTATTTTATTTACTTATTTATTATTTTTGGCTCTGTTGGGTCTTAGTCGTGACACACAGGATCTTCATTGCAGCGCGCGGGCTCTTCGTTGTGGTGCGCAGGCTTCTGTCTAGTTGTGGCATGTGGGTTTTCCCTTCTCTTGTGGCGCGGGCTCTAGAGTGCATGGGCTCTGTAGTTTGCGGCACGTGGGCTCTCTCGTTGAGGTGCTAGAGCTCAGTAGTTGTGGCACGTGGGCTTAGTTGCCCCATGGCATGTGGGATCTTAGTTCCCCAACCAGGGATCGAACCCTCGTCCCCTGCATTGGAAGGCGGATTCTTTACCACTGGACCACCAGGAAGTCCCCCAAGAGATGTGATTTTAAAGGGAAGCAGAGACGTGAAGAATAGCTGGAAATTTTAAATTATAAGGGGCATACTTTAAATAGTGGACAATTTAAAAACTCATTTGTAAGCCAGTATGAATAATACAGCATAGAGAAAGTGAGAAATAGATGGTGCGGGTAGAGGGGAAATAATTTCAGGAATAAAATTACTGTGTGGGTGAGCATAGGATCCATAGCACAGTTTGATCAGTCGGGCTGAGCTGCGTGAGCTTCTTCCATTTTAACATCAATGGAAACAGTGTTTACATGAAGGTGTACATTTTAGATTGGTAATGGAAAGGTGAGGTAGGGCTCATCTGATAATTTCTGTTTTCTCAATGAAATATGGGCAAGGTGAAGTGTTTGGCATGGGGTCAAAATGTTTTAAGGAAAAAAGAGAAGCCATAAAATAGTCGTTTAGGAGAGTGAAGACTAGAATTTTTGACATATGTCTGGTTTCAACATTGGTTCACCAGAGGAAAATGTGCAAACCTGTTTTAAGCACACTTGTCTCTGAGAGCCCACACTTGGTTACTTATCAAGCACCATGTCTTCAAAGATAGGCTATATCACTTTGGCTCTCACTCACTGTCATTTTCCACTCTGATTCAGACACCTAGAATTTTCTTTTATCTTGCTCTTCAGCTCATTCATGCGTTTAAAAACATTTTTTTCAAATTATATTTTATTTTGCATTTCTATGTGTTTTGTGTAGGAGGAGAGTTTTCCAGATGTTTTCAAGGGATATGGAAGTAGAACTTCTACTTCTCTGAATTTGTTTCATCATTTATGAAATGGGAGTAATATCTACTTGCAGAATTGTAGTTAACTATTAGAAATGATATGTATAAAATATTGGCCCATAAAAGACAATCAATAAATGATAGTTGTAATTATTATTACCACTAAATATTATTTTGTCTAAAGAATAAAAAGACCTTGCTTCTACCCTGCTTTTTATCCTAGATAAAGTTAGCTTCTGAAACTCTGAAGCTGTATTTTTAAACAAATACTTTTTAAACAATTTTAATGTGCCACAAAGTTTCTAAGTTTCTTATGTATTAGTTTGGTTGGAATATAAGATATCTTACTGAAAGATAAATTTTTGTATTTTGTGTTATATAATGTTTTAAGGCCTTGATAATGTAATATTTGAGAAAGAATAGACTTTAAATTGGAACTGTATTTGCTTATGAGACTTTATTCTTATTACACAAGAAAAAAATTATATTAAAAATATAATTTGAAAAACACAGTAATAACAATGAGGATAAAACATGGAGTAAAAAAGCCAACATATAACTTGAAAGGGATTTTTGAAAACTGTCACAATATTATCCATATCCTCTTTGTCTACTAAAATATTACTGAAGACTACAATGTTTTGAAGTAAAGCATTATATCAATTTGAGTAACTAGTACTAAGAAATGCTAATCATATAATTTTAGTGTCAGTCTGGGTTTTTTTTTCCCAAATTAGAATAGCCATTACTACACTTGGTGTTCTCTAAAGGAATATAAATACTACCAAAATCAATGTTCAATGCTTAAGGGAGAAATATGAGACACTGACATAGTGAATCTTTATTCCATATCTTCTTCCATGTTGCTCTGGTCTAGGACATGCATTTCTGTTTCAGGTAATAACCCATATTCATTCAGGAAAGATTCCACATCCCCAGTAAAAAAATCTTCGGCAAACTGTTCAGCAACACTAACGAAATTGCTTATGAGTTCCCCACCTTTGTAGACGAGCAGTGTGGGGAGTACATCTGAGGAAAAGCGGTCCCCAGCACCTGTATTAGAAGCTTTTATTTTACAAAACTTGACCGTAGGGTATTCGGCTGCAAGGCATATTAAGCTACTGTTTAGAGCATCACAGCCCTTAATACCATCTTCATAAATGTGAACAATGATTGTGATTATTTTCTGCTCCTTTTCAATGGTTTCCAGGAATTGCTCCCCAGATTCCAGCTCATAGACAAACCCATATCTAGGCCCGAAACTCAGCTTCTGGTGCATATCCTGCATACACTGCCTACGGTATTTACGAAGGCAATTTTCATCTTCTTTTTCTCTGTGGATTAGCTCATATTCTTGAACGCTCATCTGGAAATAGATGAAAGAAATGATAGAGATCATTCAGTCAGAAATTTATATTCCTTATAATACCAAACCCATTCTCAAAGAGTTTGCGTTGGCTATCCCCCCTACCTCCTGAGATGGCCTTCTCCTTCACCTCATTTGTTCAAATGTCACCTTCTTTGATTATTCTACCTAAAAGTGTCCCTGCCCCATGTTCTTTATGCTGGTTTATTTTTCTTCGTAGCAATAAACATTACTTGATATTATAGTATATGTTTCATTGTTTAATATTAGTTTTTCTAACTTTTATGCTGTATGGGGGCAGAATTTAGTGTCTGGCACATAATAGGGGTTCAGTAATTATTTCATGATTAAATACGTGCATAAGTATTGCTAAATATAGTTGAGCTATGAGATGGTCATGAAATGTGCCACTTTGGGTGAAAAAAATCCAGCAAGGTCTGCTTTAGAGTGACTTTCATAAAAGTGTATACACATGCTCATACATGCACAAGTGCCTGTACACGCACTTAAATGTGTTTCCAACAAATGCCTTTGGACACTATTGTCTCCTCCACAAAAGTTGTGAAAAAAATTTTTTCTTATCACTTACTAATTTTTTTGGAATATGTAGGATGGAATTTAAGAAAGACAGCTTTTACTACTATTTGGAGTTCACCAGATTAGCCAAAAGACCAGCAGCATCACCATTACCTGAGAAGTTCTGGGAAATGCAAATTTGGGGATGCCACCCCAGATCTACTGAATCAGACTCTGTGTGAGGCTGAGTGAGACATGTTTAAACAAGCCCTCTAGGTGATTCATATGCACTGGTTTAGGCTAAAATGCGAAAAGACCTAACTTCTATCTTCCAAGACAGCTACTTTTAACTGAAGCTGGAATATAAAATTACCTACAGAGCCTTTCTTAATAGCTATGTCATTATTAACTTAGTCAATAGAATGTTAAACACCCTTTTCCTTCACACACACACACACACACACACACACACACACACCAAGATATAAAGGAGTGATAATGGGACATAGTGTGACGATATAAAGGTAATGGGACATAGTGTGACTAAGAGATGTGGAGCAGCCCAGAACCAGTGAAGTTGGACGACTCCCAAATTTATGGAAAATCTACTATGTCTTAGACAATTTACATAGATTATTTTTCTTAATCTTCACAATAAACCTATCAGGTAGTTTTTTTACAGAAGATACTGAGATTAAGTAGAAGTATTTGGTGCTTTCATTATTTCCTTTTCTTGTTTCTTCCTCCTATATTTGTTTTTCTAATGTCCTCATTCTATTATTGTTTTCTGCTTTAAAATTATCGTTCCAACTTAATTTGTTTTAATCCTAAACATTGTTAAATGTTTTATATAATTTTTAAGTTGCTACCATAATTCTGCTAATTTAACAGGCTGAACCACAAAATACTGATTTACATATGCATTTGAGCATTCTTATGAGAACTTGTTCCATTCACATCTTCAGGCAAATAGATATTTAGGCATTCAGATACATTTCTAAAGCTTAACCTTAATACAATATTTTTAATCATTATAATGTCTCACATTTATATAGCATTTTACATGTTTCAAAATATGTTCTCATTTATTTTCTCATCACATCCCTTTAAAACAAGTGAAGGAGGTATTGTTATAGTTCCTCAGATAGGAAAATTTAATTGTCTCATCCATATCACATAGTGACTCAGTGAAGGAACCAAAATCTGAAAACGAGATCTTTTTTTTCCACTTCCCTCACAAACATTATATTGCATTAATTTTTTTTTTTTTTGGCTGTGCCAGGTTTTAGTTGCAGCATGAGGACTTCTTAGTTGCAGCATGCATGTGGGATCTAGTTCCCTGAACCCAGGCCCCCTGCATTGGGAGCACAGTCTTACCCACTGGACCACTAGAGAAGTCCCTGAAAATGAGATCTTAGATTTGAAGATTTTTTACAATGGCCAGAAGCCTAGAACCAAGAATATTTCTGATGCAGAGACTGTCTGTTGAGAATCAATATACAACAATCAATATACAACAACTCATATATGCTGGTTTGGAGATAAATAAACCACTAAAGTGATTTTTCCCCACAATGAAAATCACCTTATGGTTTCTTTTAGTATTTCTTTAGTATTGCTGTTGTTTTTATATAAATAATATGTGCTAATTATAAAGATTCAAAACTGAACTAAAAGCTAAAGGAAGGAAGTAATAAATACTGAAATTTTACCACTCTGATACTCTAAGATAATCTCCATCAAGATTTTAGAGATCATCTTTTTATATTTCGCTTTTTTATGTATGTGTGACATACACATTATATAATAAGAAATAAGTGAGAATTTTTAAAAATGCTGCTCTTAAAAAAATTATGGATATATTTTTTCGTAGTGTGGCTTATTCTGCTTACCTTCTTCCTCCTCCTTGGAAAGGAGGTTGAGAACTGTCAACCAATCCCACCCTTCCAATTAACCAATATTGTCAATTTGGTCAGTGTCTTTCCATACTTTTCTACATACATGCTCATATAATCATAAACATAAACATAATCATAAGCATAAACATATACAGTGTTTGTTTTCCATTGCTCTAGGGAATGGGATCATATAACTTAAAATTCTCTGTATCTTGCTTTCTCATGTTGTGGAACTACCTCTAAGTCAACTCATGTATTTGTAACTCATTCTTTTAACAGTTGCCATGTATTTCTTAGTATGGGATGACTTTATAGGCATAGGCGTTTACTGCATTTCCTTTTTTTTTTTTTTGCTAATACAAACAATACTATAGTAAAAATACCTGTAGATTATTTATTTTTGATTTCTTATTATCTTACCTTTCTGCTGAATCTTTCTTTTGAGTCTTTGTCATCCCCACTCTGAGGAGAAGACATTTGTCTGAGAATCTCCTTCTTACTGGGTGGGAATGAATTACAATCTTCACTCTCCAATTTAAACTTTCTCCAATCACTTATTACTCCTTTGGGTCCTGGAATAAAATTTAAAACAAATTGTTTTCCTTTTTACTTTCCAAAGGACTATTTACACAATTGATAGTTGTGTAAGTATTGCCATGGGAAAAGACTTGCTATCTTCTGTATCAGAAAAATTATCTTATTTGGGCTAGAAATTTCTGACTGCCTTGCTCATAGAAATGTTTTCCCACATTAATCTTGTTAAGTGGGTTTTGACTAAGAATCTTCCTATAACATCTGTGTTAATGAAAATACAAATTATGCACTTTGAGCTATTGGAAAAAATTGTGGGTAAAGGTATTTAAAAATTAGAGTATAGAGAGGAAACTAGAATTTTATAAAAATAGTACTGTCATTAAATAAGAAAGAAACTTCAGCAATAAACTAAAATTGTAAGCACACTTTTGTTTTTTTCAGTACACGGGCCTCTCACTGTTGTGACGTCTCCCATTGCGGAGCACAGGCTCCAGACGCGCAGGCTCAGCGGCCATGCCTCACGGGCCCAGACGCTCCGCGGCATGTGGGATCTTCCCCGACCGGGGCACAAGCCCGTGTACCCTGCATCGGCAGGTGGACTCTCAATCACTGCGCCACCAGGGAAGCCCTGGAAGCACACTATTAACAAAAGAAACTAGGATTTGGGGGGAAACAGATTGAAATATTATCAAGATCCAGAGAACAATAATGACAATAGCACTTAAAAGACAGCCAGTAAGAGGGAAGCCTGACTTCAATTAAAACCAAAATGGGGCTTCCCTGGTGGCGCAGTGGTTGAGGGTCAGCCTGCCGATGCAGGGGACACAGGTTCGTGCCCCGGTCTGGGAAGATCCCACATGCCGCGGAGCGGCTGGGCCCCTGAGCCTATGGCCGCTGGGCCTCCGCATCCGGAGCCTGGGCTCCGCAACCCGGGAAAACTAAAATGGCTTTAAGAAACTTATTATATAACCATTCAATTCTTTCTAAGATCCTAAGAATCTTTTTACAAATATAGAAAAGATGGAATTTGCAGATTTAAGAATATTAATTAAATCAAGGATGATTTAACTGAAGTTTTGATGTTCAGTGGCCCTGATAAATAATAACAGTGTTTGGAAGAAGGTCTAAATTCTTGAAAATATGGAGTTTTAAATATCCTTCACTAAAACTTAACCATATCCATACTTTAATATTGTATTATGTATGTAGATGTATTCTCTCTCCCACATATTTCCTAATAATTTTTATTTATATAATAATAATATACAATTTTAATATAAATTTATTTGTATTAATTATGTTCAGACAATCGATGTTTTTTTTACTTACTTGTGTAGTCTTCATTTTCCAGATGTGTATTCCGCATATACAAAATATGCATGTGTATAGCATGCGTTTATGTGTGAAGAAAAGAGAGTCCCTTTTTTCCTCTTTTTTTACAAATGGTAGTATATTATGCACACTTCTGTTCACTTTTCTTTTTTTACTTCATAATATATCTTAGAGATTTTTTTCACATATGTACATAAACATCCTTTTTCAAAAATGGAGGCATGGTATTCTACTGTGTAGATATTAATTTACTTAGTTTCTTATTGATGTAAATGGTTGCTCCACATTTTTTCTCTGACATATGATTCTGAGTGAAGAACCCTGCACATACATTTTTTTCCTCTCTGTTCAGGTCTACATATAGGTAATGGTAGTAAAACTGCTTGGTCAAAAAGCATATATATTTCTAATTTTAATATTGCTAAACTACCTTTAAAGAGGTTGTACCAATTTACACTGCTACCAGTAATGTATGAGTATGCCTCTTTCCAAAGTGTGATATTAAACTTTTTTACTTTTACAAACCATGTGAAAAAAACGTATTTCACTATATAGTTCTAACTTTGTAAGTGCCTATAAATTTTTTTTTCTAAATAGTCTATTCTATATTTTGCCCATTTCTCCATTTGGTTGTTGGTTTTATTCTTATTGATTCGTAGAAATTTTAGTATATATTAGGAAATTCACCCTTTGTCAGTTAGTTGCAAATGTTTTTCCTCAATTTGTTAAATTTTTTTTGGATTTTGCTCCTGATGACTTTTACCAGACAGCAGACATTTGCTTCCCCCCCTTCCTCCCTCCCTCCCTCCCTCCCTCCCTTCCTTCCTTCCTTCCTTCCTTCCTTCCTTCCTTCCTTTTCTTTCTTCCTTTCTTCCTTCCTTTCCTCATTTATATAGCTGAATTTATCAATCTTCCTTTATGGTTTCTTGGTTTTGTGTCATACTTAGAAGGTATTCTAAATACTGCCACTATGAAATTAGTTTTCATGCATTTTTGTTTAGTACTCATATGAATTCATTCAAACTCAAATTGACATCTAATTAAAACTGTTCTAAAAGTATTTGATTTCACATTAATTTATCCAGTCAAATATTTTTTAGATGATTCCACAACCCATTCAAAGGTATTACTTAAATTTCATACTGCATAGTGGCAATAAGAACATTAGAGATCTCCAGATCTAATTTTAATTTTATAATTATTTTTTTCTTTTAACTTTGCTTACCTGTGTGTGTGGCCTGTCCTTCAGAGTCTTCCTCCAAACTTTGCCTTTTGGCTCCTTCCATTTTAGAGATTCAGATTTGATATAATCTATAGGATAAACAAAGAAATAATGACGGCAGATGAATTCTAGGAGAAATATATGTATACATTCTGCTTCCAGGTTCCATGTAAGTTAAGGGTCATCACTAAGTGATGCAGTGTTTAGTTTTCTATCTACCTTGTAAAAGCACATTAATTTAATATTTGTGTCCTTAAAGATATCTGGACCTAAGAATTTTACATAATTTATAGTTTGTCTTTTTTTTACTTAAAAAGCCTTCAGGTTGGGTCTGTGTACTTAGTAAACATTATTTATTACTGATTTTCTTTTTTATTACTGTTTGTTACCAAATTTCATAAAATTATATTCTAATCATTTTATATAATAATAATGTTTTAATTAATAATAATTATATACTTACTATGAACATTTGTATGTGCCAGGCATTGTACCAATCATTTTATTGTGTCAAAAGTCACTTCATTCTCACACAACCATATATAGCAGGGACAATTATTAATACCATTTTACAAGTGAGGAAGCTGAAGGACAGGGAGTTTAAGTTTTACTTGCCTAAGGTCACATAGTAAGTGGTGGAGCAAGGATTTGAATCTACATTTGATTTTAGAGCTGTCTTAAAGCATTACACTATTAATGGAAGTTAAAATACTGTATCATTTTTTTCTCAGTGTGATTTGACAGATCCAGCTTCTGAACTGGCATTAAAGAACTATGATCTAAGGAATAGTGTGATTTGAAGCCTAACACTATAACTTCTCTCCATACCATAAAGCACGTTTTGGTGACATTACCCACCAAGCAAATGAAAACAGCCAGTAACTATGCCTATAGAATTTTGAGAAGCTAAAATTTGTCACAAAATCTACCAAAAGCACATGGAGTTTTATTCTTAGGAAACTCCGTGATGCCTTCATGTAGAATCTATTTATTCCTAGTTCACATTCAAATCCAACTTATTTGCCTATTTATTTTTCCATTATCTGGAAAACTCTATTATACATACTAACACATTCCCCAAGAAGGTCCATATAGTTGTGACTTTCTTGAAATTTTCAAGTCAAGGAGGGTATACTGACAGGGGATATGCTATCTTTCTCCTTCTTCTACCCTTTCCCCTTTGCCTCTTTCTTTCAAAGTCAGTTATTTTTAGATTAATTAATTAATTTATTTATTTTTGGCTGCGTTGGGTCTTCATTGCTGCTCATGGGCTCTCCCTAGTCCTGGCGAGCGGGGGCTACTCTTCGCTGCGGTGCTCGGGCTTCTCATTGCAGTGGCTTCTCTTGTTGCAGAGCATGGGCTCTAGGTGCACAGGTGTTAGTAGTTGTGGCACACAGGCTCAGTAGTTGTGTCACACAGGCTTAGTTGCTCCATGGCATGTGGGATCTTCCCGGACCAAGGCTCGAACCCCTGTCCCCTGCATTGGCAGGTGGATTCTTAACCACTGCACCACCAGGGAAGTCCTCAAAGTCAGTTTTAAGCAATGATATCACCCAGTTTATGCTTTGATCCCATCTTAGTTTTTTGTTGATAAACACTGAGCTTGGTCTGTTTGTTGATTTCCCAAGGCACAGAATGGTAAAAGAGAACTCTTTGTCTTGATTCCCTTTTTGTCTGGGACTTCTGCCCTCAACATTTGGACTGGTATCTTAATTTTATTGTTTCCCTCATTACAGTTCCTACCCAGAATCAGTGGAGGTCAAAGGTCTTTGCCAATTTGATTTGCCAATTTGAACAAGAAAAGACTTTTAAGAGAAGGCTGTCAAGGGAATGCCAGTCCATTCCACAGTATTTATGTAGCTATAAATGTAATAGAGAATTTTAAATCTGAATGGATTTAGTAGTGAAAAAGAATAAAAGATAATGAAAATAAGAGAAAATGGAGATAAATAAATGTTGTTGGACAAAAGAGGCTACTTAATTACTTAATGCAATTATTTAAAAATAGTTTTTGAAATAAGAGCAAAAAAAATAATTTTTGCATCTAAGAAAAATGAGTATTATAAGTTTGCTTCAAAACACCACTGCAGAACAAAGTAATGGAAACTGTTTCATAACTTCAATAGCTATCTAGTCCCCAGAAAAGTAGAGACTCAAGACAGTCTCTTTTATTTTGCAAAAGTAGATTGATAATTTGGGGTAGCTACTATTCACAATAAATATACATAAGTTTAAGAAATCCTAAAAAGAATTTTATTTCAAATGGTGAAGAGACAGAAGCATAGCTTATTTCTTGACCTGTTTCTTGCCAACCTAGTTGGCAATCTAGTGGAGAAAAGAAAGAAATTTCACTTTTCAAAAAGACTTTCACCAATTTCAAGGAATTCCTTTACTGAAGAGATAATCCAGTTACATGGGGGAAAACCTGTTTCATTGATTGGATTAGCATATGTTAAGAATAGACTATGGGCCAGGCATTCCCCTGGGCTCTGAATTACATGAAGAACAAAACTCTTCTAGTATGGCATTCACAAATACTAAGACTGAAGTCAGCTGGGTTACCTATGTAGTAAAAGACAGAGTCTGTTCCTTACCTAATGCTTCCATTTGAGTTAGAGTACAAAGATTGGTGAAATTTACTACTAAGGGAACCAGTCAACGGAGACAGAAATTTGAAGAAAAATATTGAAATATGAGGCATATTTGCTTGCACTGCTTGAAGACACTAGAGGAAGACACAAGTCTAGTGTAATTAGCTATTGATATATTTGACCTGCCCACCTGTTAATATCCCCCGTCATTAACTTACTATGGGGCTTTCTGATTATCTCAAATAATTTATCTTCTTCAAAATTTGCTTTAATATCCTAAAATTAATCCAGTTAGTATTTGGAAGGTGCTCAGATGCTTACACATAGTAAGTGCTATATAAGTCTGTAAAATAAAATAAAAATATATCTTTAAAATTTCTATCTTTTATGTTTCTATATATAATGTAACAGTCATTTACAAAATATGATCAATATTTGGCTTGCAATAGTATTATTAGTGGCTAATAAATTCCATGTCTGCTTTAGGTTAAAGGATTTAAAGTAACAATAGGATTATTACAAGACTTTGTGTTATTGTAAACACATGCTGTGTGATTGGAAATTAGTGATAAAGTAGGGCAAGAAGACAAAAAAATCTGCCACCTTCCCCAAGATCTACTGTGGTTCAAGAGTTACTGTATTTTCCATATGATACATTATAAAAATCTGTGATGTTGTTCCTTTTTGATTTTAGACAGTTATAATACTGTTTCAATTAATAAAATCTGTGTTAAGTAAAAATTGTGTTTGGATGACCTTTGACAGAATGTCACTCACTCAAATGGGTACTACCAAACTCTTTTTTTTTTTTTTTTTTTGCGGTCCGGGGGCCTCTCACTATTGTGGCCTCTCCCGTTGCGGAGCACAGGCTCCTGACGCGCAGGCTCAGCGGCCATGGCTCACAGGCCCAGCCGCTCCGCGGCATGTGGGATCTTCCCGGACCAGGGCACAAACCCGTGTCCCCTGCATCGACAGGCGGACTTCCAACCACTGCGCCACCAGGGAAGCCCCCCCGTTTTTTTTTAATATATCTTTATTGCAGTATATACAATTGCTTTACAATGTTGTGTTAGTTTCTGCTGTACAACAAAGTGAATCAGCTATATGTATACATATATACCCATATCCCCTCCCTCTTGTGTCTCCCTCCCACCCTCCCTATCCCACCCCTCTAGGTCATCACAAAACATTGAGCTGATCTCCCTGTGCTATGCAGCAGCTTCCCACTAGCCATAAATTTTACATACCAAACTCATCAAAAGTAAAAGTAAATATTGGTGAGAAATATAGTTTAAAAGTATAATTCTACCAAGTTAGTGTTTATTTTCCTCTTAGTTTAGGATTTTAATAGTAGTTTAAAATAATAGCTTATGTGGGATAAGATTTTTCGAACTTTGTTCTCAAAACTCTAACACCTGCCATCCATGGTTTAGTAATTATTAAGAAATAAAATGACACAATTTAAAACAATTTTTCTTTTAGTTCCTGTTTTGCACATAATAGTGATAATCTAGAATAGAAAGGAAGTAAGTGAAATTCTTAAGTATTTGGGTTTTTGTTTGTTTGTTTTTTTGTTTTGTTTTGTTTTGTTTTTTGCGGTACGCGGGCCTCTCACTGCTGTGGCCTCTCCCGTTACGGAGCACAGGCTGCGGACGCGCAGGCTCAGCGGCCATGGCTCACGGGCCCAGCTGCTCCGCAGCATGTGGGATCTTCCCGGACCAGGGCACGAACCTGTGTCTCCTGCATTGGTAGGCGGACTCTCAACCACTGCGCCACCAGGGAAGCCCAAGTATTTGTTTTAAAAAACTCTCTAAAATCCCCAAATCCACCCCTAAAATATTTCATTATCATCATTGTTCTTGTTCACATGATACCGTGATGATGACATTTGTTTATCATTTCATATATGTTGATCTAATCTAATGAGAACATCTAGTTTAGAATTTACTGTAGATTCTCAGTGTTCCAGAAGAGCTTTGCTTTCAATACTAACTGTTGTAATTTACTGGAAGGTTTTCAAATAGTGGGCTCATCTCATCACTGTTTAAGGTATGGGCTCATCTCATACCTTAAACTGATTTTTCTCCTAGCATCCACAGCAATTTGTAGAACTTATTTTTACATACTTCACTACTGTAAGTTCTTCTAGGACAGAGATTAGTCTTCACTTGTCATTGCCTTACTTCTTATAACTGTTTCACATGTTATAAAAAATCCATAAATGACAGCAGCAATTTTGAAAGAATATAAATGCTAGGTACTTTATACACACTGTTTTAAATTTTCACAGAACAATTTTCCTCATTTTTCAGATGTGAGTTCTCAGGCTCTGGGAGTTTCAGTGACTTGCCAATGCTAGTATGGAGTAGATAGAGCTAAATTTCAAATCCAGGTTTCTCTGACTTTCAAATCTCTAAAATACTTATTTTTTCCACTATGCCATCACCTATTCAATAGCATGCTTAATGAATGAAACAAATCAACCTAATTTTTGCATA